GGGGAGATGAATGGGATCCAGATGCATAATGTGACAGACACAAAGATTAAATAAAAAGAAATTTTAAAAAAGAGTAGAGTAGGGTTATGATGACTAGGAAGTGATTTTATATTCCCTGCTCCTAGTTCTCATTGGTACCTTGAGATTCTGAAATGGAAGCTCCTCAAAACAGATTTTGTGTGTGTGTGTGTGTGTGTGTGTGTGTGCATGTCTGTGTGCACATGTGTGTGAGAATTTGTATGCATGGGTGTGTGCATGTGTGAGCACGCATGTGTATGCATGCATGTGTACATGTATATGGTGTGTGTGCGTGTATGTGATGTGTGTTCATGAGCATGCATGTGTGTGCACAGGTGTGCACATGCATAGCAATGGACACACCATGGTGGGAATGTGGAAGTCATAGGAAGCATTCAGGAGTAGCTTATCTTCTTCCAGCGTGAGTTTCAGGCTTCTCACGGCGTCAAGTTCACATGCAGTGTGAGTTCCAGGGCTCTCCTAGTATCAAGCTTGCATACCATCTGCTTTTACTGACTGCACTACCTCATTGGCCCAAGTTCCAGATTTCTTAACCTCAAACTTTATACTAGGAAATACGATTTTTAAAAGTAGGAATTCCCAGGAACCATAAAGTTTGACTGTGGCCACCATATAGTTCTGCTTCTGTTTTTTAATGCCAGATGTTGGCTCTGGACTAATGTGCAGAGGAGGGAAAGCCATAGGAAATTCTGATCTACACGAAGCCAAAATAGCAAGCAATTTTTGTCTTAAATGGTTGATTTATTTAAAAAGTGTCAATCAAGCCAGCCAGAATCCAAACTGCTTATCGCATAGTCTATAGATTGCTAAAGAACCGTGGTTCCCAAGGGTTGATCCCCCTTGGGATCATAAGCAGCATTTTAAGAGTATGGACAAACTTGATATGTTTCCAAGACATTTCCATAGAGTTTGGCTATTTTTCTGTGGAACCTATAACTTATGCAATCACTGGATAATTTCAGCTTCATGTGGATGTAGACAAGAAAATCTGGACTTTTCCTTTAGTTTCAATTCTCATGATTTCTCGTTTTTTTTCCCCTTCTCTCCTCCCTCTCTCTCTTATTCTTTTTATTAGCATATATTCATTGTACCAAATAATGAGCTTCACTAATACATTTTCATGCATGATTATAATGTGCTTTGAGCATACTAATACCCCATTACCCTCTCTTGATTCCAGTGATTATTAATTATGCTCCTATAAAATATTCCTGTGGCTCATTCTCCTTCTATTCTGCTCATTTCAGTCTGCATTCTAGTTTTCTTAAACTCCAAGCCTATTAGACACAAGCTTTGAAAACCTCCAACCGAGCTACCGTCACCCTCCAGTTCACACACACACAGGGCTTCCGACCTCTCACCAGGTTCTGGCTACCATGCCTTCCATCCATTTCCTGTTTGGTGAACCCTCCAGTTAATGGACAGCTTGTTTCTTTGAAAGACCTTTCAACTTCTGACTTATCTCTTTGGAGATACCCGTCTCCCACTTGCTCTGTCCTCAACGTTCTTTATGCTCTTGACAAAAGTTGCCTCTTTCATGAAATCGCCAATTGTGTCCCTGAAGTCCCGATGTCTCAATGCCTTTGTGAAACTGTTCCTATGTGAGACTACACCAGTATTACTGGCACACTGGCTAGCCTCCCAGGCTAGTGTACAGGAACTGATAAAACTACAATTTCCATTTTGCCTTTGCACATTCCTTATGGTTTACCCTATTCAGGAATACCACTAAAAAAGTAATATTGGCCCCTTGTGTATTTCTCAGAAATGTCTGAATTTTTTTCTTTCTGTTTGGAAACCAAACTGTAGATATCAACTGTATAGTCTGGCCTTTTCTCAGATGAAAGAATACAGTTAAGATAGACAAAAAAAAAAAAAGAGCAAAGACCCTTTTCCCATCTCTGCTCTGTAAAGTTTCTGCTTAGGAGCCATCATATGTTTTCAGAAAGACGAGTCAAAAATAAAAAAAAAATTATTATTATTTTACATACAAACCACAGTTCCCCCTCCCTCTCCTCCTCCTACTCCCCTCCACCTTTCCCCAACTCAATCACCCCCATCCACTTCTCAGAAAACATAAGGCTTCCCATGGGGAGTCAACAAAGTCCGGCATATCAAGTTGAAGCAGTACCAAGTCCCTCTCCCTGTATCTAGGGTGAACAAGGGATCCCTCCATTGGAATCATGGTTTCCTATATCCTATCTACAATACCTTGGCTTTGTTTTTATTCCCCTTTTCTTCCTAGCAAATGCATCCCTACCAAAGAAGAAAGGAGGTCAAGAATAGAAAATAACAATAATAGTGGCAGATGGAAGTAGATGGTTGAATTTATGATCCTCAATTATTGTTATTTCCTATTCTTGTCCTCCTTTCTTTTTTGGTAGGAATGTGTTTACTAGGAAGAAAGGGGGAATAAAAACAAAAATAAGGTATTGGAGATAAGATGTAGGAAACCAAGATTCTTTTTTTTTACATGGTTGGAGAATTCCAGACTATAAAATTCCAGCCAAATTTGGAACACCCAAGACATACAGGGAGTTAGAATCCTATGTGTGGGTTTTCTAGAATCACACTCTTCACAGGGACTGGTAGACTTAGCCTGGAGAAAAGAAGATATGTCCCCCACTTGTGTTCTGCTAGATGTTTTACTATTTTGGCTTTTGGGGGGGGGCACCAACCAGCTCCCAAATAAATCACACATGGAGGCTTATTCTTAATTATGAATGTGTGGCCTTAGCTTGGCTTGTTTCTTACCATCATTTCTTAACTTAAATTATCCTGACTACCTTTTGCTTCTAGGCTTTTATCTTTCTCTATTTCTGTATACCTTTCTTTCCACATTACTCGGTGACTGACTGGCTGGGTAGCTGAATCCTAATGTCCTCCTCTCCTTGTTCTCTTGCTCCTCTTCTTCATTGTTTCTCTTTCTATTTATATTCTCTGCCCGCCAGCTCCACCTATCCTTGCTCCTGCCTCACTATTGGCTCTTCATCTCATTAGGACCGTCAAGTGTTTTAGATAGGCACAGTAACACAGCTTCACAGAGTTAAATAAATGCAGTGTAAACAAAAGTTACACACCTGAAAATCATATTCCCCAACACACTTGAGCACAGGGTTCTTTGGATTCTGCTTTGGCCAGACACTTCGATGAAATTGTGGTAGAAAAGAGTAGCAGGTGCCTGTTTTAATTGCTTTTTTGTTATGTTAGAATACTATGGTCAGAGGCAAGTTAAGGAAGAAAGGGTTTGTTTTGGCTTACAGTTCCAAGAGCAGGAAGCTGCTTGACAACATTTTATTCACACACAGGAAGCAGAGAGAGAGAGAACAAGAACAAGAGAGAGACACAGAGAGACAGACAGAGACAGAGAGACAGACAGAGACAGAGAGACAGACAGAGACAGAGAGACAGAGAAAACATGAAGGTGGATTTCTTCCAGTGGGGCTATCGCTCCCAAAGGTTCTATAGACTCCCCAAATATCACCACCAACTGGAGACCAAGTATACAAATATGTAAACCTGGGGAGGACATGTCTCACTTAAGCACCCATGACTGTGGAAACAGCAGCAGTGAAGGTCAGCTCTTCTGTGTGTAAGGAGCTGGGAGATTCAGCTCTTCCAATGACCTTCATTCTTTTCAGAAAGGAGGTCTTCAAACAATGTCTTAGTTCTGGTTCCATTAACAAACTTAGATGCTGTTTGTAATAAAACTTAGAAATAGAATTTTAAATTACATGAGAAAGCTAAATTACCGTATCCATCATTTTACACAGTTAAGACCAGAGACCATTTTTCCTGGTCCTCCTTCTTCTGGCTGGTGGGAGACTGAAACCAGAGGCCAACAAATGATTGGTAGACGCAAACTGCAATGCTGGCTTTGCAAACGCAGGTGTTAAACCATCAACCCCTCCATCCCTTAGTGTTTAAGCCCTTTAGATTCCATTGCAGAGCTCCAAACTCAATGGTTTCTTTTCAACAGAATTCGATTATTCCTGGAATTCTCTTTTCTAACTAATTCAGCTTTGGTAACCGTAAAAAAAGAGCAGTGTTTCTAGGATAGACTAATTGGGCCCTGGTCTCTCAAATTTTTCTGTCTGACTCCAGGCAGCTCTTTACTCTACCTGCCTGCTTTGGTTAATCTCTTTATAAAATGGAAATAAAGTATTGTCTTTCTCATTAAATCTGTGTCTGCTCAGAGTTGTGTGATGCTATAGTTCAATACATGTTAAATGATGCTAATAGTTGGCACCTTATCCTTCACAAGCAACTCGAGTGCTTAAGATGAATCCAATAAATAATCCAAAATAATTTAGATCCCTAGGGTAACTTTTTAATGGAAGAGTAACCAAGGTGCTCCTGAGTTAATTATCCCCATCTAAAATGGGAGAGGGGATTTTTTTTTTAACTTCAATTTGTGGGATTGATTTTATGGCTTCTAAGGTCTCCTTAACTGGTGAACTCCTTTTTCAAAAAAAAAAAAATAATCAATAAAAGAAAAACATGCCTTTACTTTCACCTGGGTTCTGGTTATTTCCATCTTCCTTTTTTTTTTTTCAAAATCAGTGCTGTTTTCAAGGTAAACACCTTTTAAATTCGGTTAGGATTTAAATGCACACACACACAGCTTTCCTTTTATAACACAAATCCTTATGGGTAATGACATTCATTATCATGGTCTTTTATATGTGCTGTTTACTATCCCAAAGCATTGCAGAATTCCATGTTCAAATACTAAAACAGAAACCCTGCATGAAACATGCAGTTATTTTCACTTGAGCTTCTCTATTTAATAAGCCATTTGATCTAGAATCTTCTGGTTGCTATGCCTGAAATTTGACTCATTTGCTTCCTTAGGAACTGCTATAAAGATTGTGATATTGCAAAAATCATATTTTATTACAATTTTATTTTGTAATAATACAGAAAACGTGGTCCGTTCTGCGGAATGACTGAGTCGGTAATATGGAGTAATGCCCCATTTATCCAGGATGGCTGTGTAATGAGGTGGCCTTTTCTGTGATCTGTCCTGATAACCGAGGCTTATTCCCTGTATGTGCAAAAGACTTTATTCCTTCTTTTTTTCTTGTGTATGTGATGTATGTGTGCATATGTGTGGAGGTGTATGCATGCCCATGTATGCAAGCATGAAGGTCAAAGGTTGATGCTAAGTGTCTTCCTCAGTCACTCTTCACCTTATATATTGAGGCAGGGTCTCTCACTTGAAGGCAGAGCTAGCCAGCTTGTCCCAAGGATCCCCTGTGTCTGCCTCCTAAATGCAGGTATTACCAAGGGTGGGCAGCCATTCGTGGCGGGCATTTCTGTGGGTGACGGGCATCTGAAGTCCAGTGTTGATGCTGGTGCAGGATTCTCAGTAAATGATTTGTCCATCCCATCCTCACCTCACATACAACTCTTGTTTTTTGAGACAGAGTCTCTCAGTAATCCTGGAACCCATCATTTCTGCTAGTCTTGGTGACCAATAAGTCCTCGGGTTCGGCCTGTCTCCCCCACACCCCAAGTGTTAGGGTTACAGATGCAGGCCATTGCACCTAGCTCTCATGTGAGGGCCAGGGATCCAAACTCAAGTCCTCCAGCCTGCACAGCAAGCATTTTATCGACTGACCCATCTCTCCAGTCTTCTGATTTTGATGGGAAGATTCTTCACATACGTTAGACAGATCTCAGCCAAATCAAACGTTCCCTGGAGCTCTGGACCGGCTTCTAATGATGAAGACAGCACCGTATTAGCCGTTGCAGGGGACCACAACATGGGCAGACAAGAATCAGGAAAGGGAAGAGGCAGTGTCTCTTCTGTGCAGTGCTCCTTTCTCTGATAATCTATATTTCCTTTCTCGCCATTGTTTGCTATTTTTAATCACTTTTCAATGCTTCTGATCCAAATATTTTCCCATTCAGTTTTCACACATAATTTAATCTTACAGTGGCAATTGAGCATGTGTGAGAATACAGGAGTCCCAGGCTAGCAGTAGATATCCTAGTCCCTTGGTTCTTTACCCAAACCTAGCAAGGTGGCAGAGCATCCCATTAAGCATGAGACTTTCTTACCATGCTCCTCATTTTTAATCTCAGAATATCACTCTGACAGTGTATCCACAGCTAGTTTGTAGAGACCCGGGGCCAGGGCAGTCATTGTACCATTAATTGTATTCATTAAGCAATGAAATACAGAATGCTGAGTGTGTGAAAAATTTCGTGTGGTTTGTCTCTATTGTATCTTCCAACCTTAGGAAAAATCCACATTGAAATGTTAATGTAATGTGATACTTAAAATTTCTGATATTTGGCATTATGTCTGCTGAACTTTCTCTCCAATAGAATAGATTGTTTTGCCTGAGGCTTTTACTGTACATAACGAGAAAAATTTCTTGTTTAATTCAGAACACTGACTGGGGACCGGCCTTTGCCTCAGTTGTTCTCTTTCCCTGACTTGTGGTCCTTTCTCAGAGATTAGCATTTTCTAGACTGTGTAATATATTAGAAGCATCTTCTAGACTGTGTAACATATGAGTAGCATCTTCAGTTAACATAAATCCTGATTGTAGCCTTCATTCTTTTATGTGACTTGTCCAGTAACATTAATATTTTTAATATATATATATATATATATTAGATACACCAAATAATCTCTTTCTTTTGGCAGGCAAACGAGTTTTCAGCAGAGAATAGTTCTCAGAAAAGAAATGCAAAGGTACTTTATTTTTAACAATTAAATGACTCTGACGCCTTCCAGTACTTATTCTGATTTATTTTTCCTTTGTAATGTCAGGTTTTCTCAATTTTCCTGATCCTGTGAAACTCACTTCAGAAAGCCATCTTTCCCCGTGACATTAATTTCTTCAGTGTCAGATTCTTGATTTGCTCAGGACATTGCAAACACTTCTTTCCCCCATCGCTAATGCTCTGCTGTCTCCCAAAAGCGTTCTCTAAATCTGTAATATGCCCATGACACTTGGACACACTTGGAAAGTGGGGTCAGCAGTCCTGGTACAATGTGCTAATGCCAACTCTTGCTTAGCACGTTGTGCCTGTAGAGGGGCTTGTATAGGGCACAGCTTTGTGTATCTTACCTGAACCCCAATTCTCCTGGGAATGATAAGATCTGCTCTGTTTCTGGTGATTCACCAAGGATCTTGTTCAGCGTGACTTTATTTTCTCAGAGCTAACTTTTAGAATCACCATGTCTTTAGCTGTAAGAAAGCAAGGGCAAAGGTCACTCTGTGATCAATGCAAACATTTATTTTTCTTTGTGGCACTCCTGAAAATCTGGAATGAATCACAATCTACCCTTAAGATGTATTACCTATAAACAGAACACAGAAATGAAAAAATATAGTCCAATACCAGTACTTCATGGTAAAATGTATGCACTGAAGAGTGAATAATATTGACGCATGTGAATCTCAGAAAGAAATAATAAAGTACTCATGTTTTTCAACGATTAGCACATTCCGAGTTTTGGTGCCTTAGCACCCTACACAGCCCTTCAAACATACTTCCCTTTCTCCTTTCTAAAGGGACCCAGCACACTGAAGCCTGTCTTTCTCTGTGTCTGCCTATCTACCATTTTATGGCTTACCAACCATACATAGTTTCTTTTAAAAAATAGTTTATTTATCCTTATTTCATTTACATTGGTGTTTTACCTGCATATATGTCTTTGTAAGGATATCAGATCTTGGAGTTACAGACAGTTGGGAGCTGCCATGTGGGTGCTTGGAATTGAACCTGTGTCCTCTGGAAGAACAGTCAGTGCTCTTAACCACTGAGCCATCTCTCCAGCCCCCATACATAATATCTGATGTGGGATTCTCCTCTGTATGCTGTAAATAAAGTTGGTTAATAAAGAAACTGTCTTAGGCCTGTGATAGGGTAAAGTAGAGCCAGGTGGGGAAAATTAAACTGAATTCTGGAAGAAAGGAGGTAGAGTCAGGGAGAAGCCATGGGGCCACTGCCAGAGACAGAAAGGCTGAAACTTTGCTGGTAGGCCATGTCCTTGTGGTGATGCACAGATTAATGGAGATGGGTTAAATTAAGATGTAAGAGTTAGCAAATAAGAAGCTAGAGATAATGGGCCAAGCAGTGGTTTAAATAATATAGTTTCTGTGTGATTATTTCGGGAGTCTGGGTGGCCAGGAAATGAACAAGTGGCCTCCTACAACAATTTCTTAAACAGTATTTTCTTTGATAGTTGACATTTTAATGTAGACAAGTAAAATTTCTGTGTAACTTTTTTGATGGGTTTTGTTATTCTCCATATTATAAGATTCACCTGGGTTGAAACAAAGGTTGTGTGTCATGCTTTAGTCTTTGCTTAATAATGTGTGACAACATAAGAATCCAGTCAGTTAGTGGTGTACAATTCAAGTTGTTTCCTGTTTTCTGTTGCATTAACTGCTGCATGAGTGTCTTATGCGCTCTGCTACGCAGGTATTAGGACTCCTCACTAGTGTATATCTAGAACCAAAATCATGTTTGTGGAAAATGGGTCACCCACCTCTAGTATACCTTACCCACAAGACATGCAAGTTTCTGTTCCTGATAGCCTTACTATACTTGGCATTAATCACATTTTATCTGACCCCCTGGTAGGCATGAAATGGTGTCTCATTGAGCTTTTCATTAGCATCTTCCTGATTCATATTGAAACCGAGCATCCTAGTTCATCTTTCCATCATTTCCATTTCCCCTTCTGTAAGACATGTTTGGTTTTTGTTCTTATTTTCATCATATTGTCCACTGTTTTATATGTTAACTTCATCTGCATTCTATTACCATAACTGCATGTCTGAGACGAGGTAACTTACACAGAAGTTCATCTGGTTCATAGTTCTAGTAGCTGGGGACTCTGAGAGCCTGGTGATAGCATTTGCTCAGCCTCTGGTGCCCCATAGCATGCCGAGTACCATGAGGCAAGTTTGTGCTAAACTTGGGTCTCTTTTTCTATATTATAAAGCCATTGATACCCACATGGTGGCACCACTCTTATGACCTCATTAATCCAAATTACCTCCCAAAGGCCCCATCTCATAGCAGCATTAACATATGAATTTGGAGATTAAGTTTCAAGCACATGACCTTTCTGAGTGGGGGACACATTTAAACTATAACAGACACAAATTATTAATCATTTCTATGAATTGCAAATACCTTCTTTCAGTATCAGGCTTTCTTTTCGCTGTCTATATAATCGTCTCATTATATAGTCATCTTAAATTTGAAAGTATAAAACTATTGCCAGCAATTTGTAGATTCTGTTTTTCTGATTAGAAAAATTCTTTAGTTCATGAGATTATTCTTCCAGAAATTTCTCTAGTATCAAAATACTGCCGTTCATAATTATACCTTTTGTTTTGTTTAGAACTAATTATTATTTATTGTGTGAGATACAGAACCTACATTTAATATTTTTCTGTGTGAATAATCACACAGAAACCTAGGTCCTCTTTTGGGGGGGTTCAAGATAGGGTTTCTGTGTAGCCCTGGCAATCCTGGAATTCACTTTGTAGACCAGGCTGGCTTCAAACCCACAGAGATCCACCTGCCTCTGCCTCCTGAATGCTGGGGTTAAAGGCGTGCGCTACATTTTCTAAATTATATGGTATCAATAATATGTTTTTTCCCTTGATTTACAAGTCATTCGGTGTAACTGAGGTTCTGTGTGTGTTGAGGACCTGTTTCTTAGCTTTGGTTTGATTCAGTTTGTATTTCCTACAGCAAATCACACTCTTGTAGTCATAATAGCTTTGAATAGGGTCACACATAGTAAGCAAGGCTCTTCCCTTATAGGAGAACATTGGTCTTTGGATATATGTGCATGTGTGCATAGCTTCATGTTAGGCTGCTACTTCAAAATCACTTATTTTAGTATGGAGTGCTAACAATTACTCTTTTAGAATGTTTTTAATATGAGAAACACTTCAAACATAATGAAAATCAATTGAAAGTGAAATAGAAAAAAAAAGAGGCATAAAAAGATGACTCAGGGGGCTGGAGAGATGGCTCAGAGGTTAAGAGCACTGACTGCTCTTCCAGAGGTCCTGAGTTCAATTCCCAGCAAACACATGATGGCTCACAACCATCTGTAATGAGATCTGGCACCCTCTTTGGGTGTGTGGGAAGCAGAATGTTGTACACATAATAAATAAATAAATAAATAAATAACCCAAAAACGTTAAAAAAAAAAAAAGATGACTCGGAGGGTAAAAGCATTTACTGTACAAGTCTGATGACCTGAGTCCAAGCCCAAAATTTTACAGTAGAAAGACAGGACACCTTAAAAGTTATTCCTTGACTTCCACTTGTCATCAGAGAGCCTTCCTCCAGTAAGTGTTGGAAACAAATGCAGTAAACATTCGTCTGAGCTCAGGAAATCTTGTTGAAGAGAGGGAAGAAGGATTGTAGAAGCCAGAAATGTCAACATTATAAAAATAAAATTACAGAAGCCACTAACTCTTAGGAACTCACAGAGTCTGAACCAACAACCAGGGAGCCTGCATAGGACTGACCTAGGCCCTCTACAAATTTGTGATAGTTGTGTAGCTTGGTCTACTTGTGGGACTTCTACCAATGGGAGCAGGGACTGTCTCTAATGCTTTGGCTGGCTCTTGGGAATCTATAAGGGGAGGTGCTTAGTCTTAAAGCAACTTGATATGCCATGCTTAGTTGATACCCATGGAAGGCCTGGCCCTTTCTAAAGAGAAACAGAGGAGGGGTGAATTGAGGGTGGGGGGAGTAGGGAAATAGGAGGAGAAGAGGAAGGGGGAAATGTGTTTGGGACATAAAATAAATGAATAAATTAAATTTTTAAAAAGCTGGATAGATGACTCGGAAGTAAGTTATAACTGATTAGTAATTAGGGACATCCTCCCAAAGCTGCCTGCCCAAGAGATCGCCCAGATTTATTTATTGAACTTTTCACTGACTGAGATTTGACGGAATGTTCAAGTTTTATTTGCTCAGTTCTCACCTTCCTAATGCTGAGCTGGTCTGTGGAATGTCCCCAGCCGTGCTGAGCTCTGTGACTCCGCTGCTCTTGTTGAAATGATCTATTTCAATGGCAAGACTGCCAGCTTGAGACGGGCTCTTGCCTGCTGAGCCATTTGCGGTGATGGATGGCATCAGGAAAGTAACGTTTTCCAATTTGGCATCTTCTAGGCATTAACTGGGTCTTTTATTCCACATCCTTTCAGTCCTGCCCTGATTTTTCTGTGAACTCATTGAGTTCTAGACAAGAAAATGACATATTTCCTTAAAGAATCCCCCCTAGCTAGGAGTTGGTGTCATTTTTAAAAGAACCTCTTAGAAAAGTCAGAAATGGCTCTTAAAACCTGATGTTCTTCCATTAGAAACAAAGAACTTTTGTTAAAATATGTGAGCAAGGATTTGTCTACCTGGTAATATAGTATATTATTCAGGGAAACCACCTGAAGCTTGAAATAGGGGATTTAATGAAAATTTAAGAAAAGATAAGTATTTGAAGCATTTATAATGACATGTATACACAATGATTATTCCTGTTTGGCAAATATTTTGTTTTTCTATGTTGTGCATGTGCAGAATGGTACTGCTTGTCCCCTGTAGTTAGATAAGATGAGGCAATTTGTTTTGCCCAAAGACTTGTCTGATGATATAAATCCGTCCCTTCTTGGGCTGCATGGCACAGTGCAGGACCCTAAAGGCTCCATGAGCTCCTGGAGGGGTGATGGGCAAAGTTTCAGCAATGACTACCTGTAATGACCTCCAAAGGCCAGCATATTAGCATTCCTCATGGTGGTGCCACGGATGTTCAGAGATGGGACATAATGCGAGGTTCATCAGTCACATGAATGGTGGGGGGTACAATATCAGAGGTGAAACATTAGGGAGGTTGTGTGGGAATCCAGTCCCTCACTAGTTCTTGTTGCTGTTAGCCAAACACTCTACCACATGCTCCTGCCACCGGTCTGCAATCATGCCAGAGGCAGAAAGCAATGGGCCTGCTCACCTGCAGTTTATAACATTGTTAAAGGTTACTCTTTTATCCTTAATTGTTTCCTTGCTTGTTTGTTCTTTTATTTTTTTCTTGCAGGGGAAGGGTTGGAATCTAGGACATTTTACATGACATGAAACATTTTGTCTTTCTAACTTGATTGCCTCGGGCATTTCATTACAGTAACATGAAGTTCCCTAAATTAGCTATTTTGTTAATCTGAGTCCCCAAATCCCTATTCTGGGCAGTCAGCCCCTCTGATCTGCAGTACATGAATAGAGTGACCAAGAAACTACCTAGATTTAGGGGTTGGTTCTGCAGCACAAGCCAGTTTATGCTCTGTTTTGACTGAACAAAATTTATTGTTGTCAATGGGTAAAATTACACATTCTCTCAGGGTGCCATTTAAATAAATTTAGGGATTAACTCTCTGTTATAGGAGTCTATGGGTTTCTAATTATTTGAAGTTGCTACTAAGTTTTTTGAGTTGCCATACCTAGTAAGGACTCTGTGTTTTCCTTTGAAATCCTACTTAGTATTGAACAGGACCACTATTAGCTATTCCAGATTTGGGTAAACAGTTAACATCGCTAACTTCTGAGAAATAATATAGCCAGGGACTGGCATTTAAAGAGCACAGACTTATGAATTTTGTTCCTGAGTGCATTCCTTGCTAACTCTTGTTCTCTAACCTGGTGAAGCCTCAGCTTCTTCACCTAGGAAGTGGAGATGATAATAATGTTGCCCATGTGGTGGTCATGGGAAAAGATAACAATGAAAACAGGACAGTGATGATCCAATAAGAAGAGACTGTCTGTTCCAGGGGTGGAGTTGGCGGCAGCACTCAATAAACCACAGCTCTTTTGTCGTGGAGTAATGTAAATCTGAGAGCCCTTATCAGTAAGCAGAACTGGTACTCCACATCATCATCCACCCCAGAGCATCTGCACCAAGTGAACTCTTAGAGGAGTGTAGGGAGGATGCTACCTCACATGAGAGGGGTCTTCTAGGTCTCCATAGTTTTTGCTCTTGGTGATTGGGCCATAATTTCCCTTGCAATATCAAATAAGTCAGGCACTTCTCTTTTTCCGTATTCTTTAAAAGTTACAAATTAAAAACAATGTGGCGGTTTGAGTGAGAAATGTTCCCCAGGGGCTTAAATATTTGAACACTTGGCCCCCAGCTGGTTACACTGTTCGGCAGATTTAGGGGATGAATTCTTATGAAGGAAATAAGTCACCCGGGGGCTGGCTTTAAGAGTTTTATACCCTCACCGTACTTCTAGCCTCTCTCTCTCTCTCTCTCTCTCTCTCTCTCTCTCTCTCTCTCTCTCTCTCTGTTAGAGATATGATCTCTCAGTTTCCTGTCATCATACCTTGTCCTTGTTGCCGTGACTCCCTCTCACGATGTCCTCTAGTCCCTCTGGAGCCATAAGCCCGAATCAGCTCTCCCTTCTACAAGTTGCCTCCGGTCATGGTGTTTCAGCAGATAGATATGTTCCTAAAACAAGGGATCTGTTCATCAACAATGACAGACTTAGATCCAGGATAGTCTGAATATTGAGCTGAAGAGAGGAATTATTCATCCAGGATTGCCTTGAACAATCTCTCTGTCTAGTACCCTGGCATCCCATCTGGTCTTGTATCAGTTCAGGTTTTTCTTTTTTATGAAAGTATTATTATTTTTATTAATAGTATTTTTATTGAGCTCTACATTTTTCTCTGCTCCCCTTCAACCCTCTTCCGAGGTTCCCATACTCCCAATATACTCAGGAGATCTTGTCTTTTTCTATTAATGTTAAATTGAAAGCTGCCAGGTTAATTGGGCTTCCTCTTACTTCCCACCTCTGCCACAGTCTCACAGTGGGTAACCCAACAATCAGACCTGTCATTTCGCACATGGTTACATCTGAGAAAAGAATCAAAGGTAAGTTTCCCCCCTTCTTCTGGCCCACCGAGAAGGCAATGAGGCTATGAGCTCCTTTGGAGGAAGCTAAGGGATAGTTATTAGGTAGAGGCTGGAGCAAGCTCCCTTTTTGTAGTCTCTGGTGAGGGTAATCATGGAAAAAAAAAATGTCCCAATATACCACTCGTTATTACAGGTTTAGATGTGATTTGTGCCCCTCCACTTTAAAGTTGATTGACATAAAATATTTTCAGGGTCTATCAGGATAGCTCAGTGCATGAAGTGTTGCCAAGTCTGTCGACCTGGGTTCCATCCCTGAGGCCCCACACCATGAGAGGAAAGAATCCATTCTCTGAGCATCCGTGCTCACGTTTGCACATGCATGTATGCAAAATAAAATTAAAATGTGATTTTAAGAAGATATCTTCAAGGCATTCTAATGGTGGTCATGTTAGTACACGTGAAATGGTGAGATGTTCGCACATCTCATTTTAAGCCTGGTCATCAAGGCCTCCTTCTGTGGCAGAGTTCCTTGGATTTGCAGGTCCTATTAACATCTGAAGAGAGAGGTTTTATTCAGTTAGAAGTATCATATACAGGTAAATCACTTAAATATACCAATAATTTTAGATTTATTAACAGGAAACCATACTTGGAATGAGAATTCAGGCATTTTATGAAAAGAAAATTCAGTAAGACCACGTTGAAAAAGATAATTTTCAGGAAGATACCAGACAAATGGCGCTAAAAATAGATGCCGGTGCCAAAGTGAAAAATGTATGCACAGTGCACTAACCAGAGTTGTTCTGTTTGCGTTGTGTTAAATGTTTTGATAGGAAGGCTTTTATTTTGCTTAATGTGAACAGATGTCTGTTTATGGCTAAAAGTTCTAATATTGGAAGTGGATTTTTCAATGGGAATGCTTAATAAATATAAACATGTTTATGTTTATAAATATGTTAATTAATAAATATTCCAGAATCTAATTTTATCTTTACACAAGTCCTCTGATCTAATAGTTAATTGGCCACTCCCCCCAGACAGAATTCACACGCTGCCTAGAGAAGGCATGCTGTGGGATGTGATGTGTACCCTCCATTTCTTCCCCCACTCCAAGATATGGCTGCCAGCATAGCCCACAGCATCGCAGACCATGCCTTAGACAGTTATTTTAAGCAAAGGATTGAACATAGTGTCTTGCTTCCCCTTTTAAAAAAAATGAAGCTTCTTCCTTATGGGTTCTTTTTGATTCCATGGCATGGAGGATTCCATACACAGCAGTCACCTGAGTATCATGGTTGACAAATGTCTTCTTTGCCTCAAAGGAATGTCCCAGAGCCTTGATGCTCTCCAGAACTGCCTACATTCCAAGCAGACCTGCATAGCTTTGTGACTTTGAAGATTAATCTCTGTCACTCACAGCTCGTTGGCTTCTCTTGCTCATTTCTGCTCCGTCTGCAGATGGTGTGGTATTCTGTGCCAGCATTATTTATCCACAAGTTTGCTTCTCACACAGCTCCCTCTTTGAGCAATTGTAGAGAACGTTAAAAACGCAACAATTATTCCACTCTTTCATCAGCTTATGGGTTTTACAGTTCTGGTCCAAAAGAACATCCCTGTATTAACGCCCTCCCTTGCACAAAGATACTACTGATAGAGCCTCTCAATTTTGTGCAGCAAGAACATTAAAAGAAGTCTCCCAAGCCACAGAAACACACATGAACAGCAAACTTTCATTTCTATATATTCAATGATACTCTTCAAATGCTGCCCTCTGCTGCATCTTTCTCTCAGAGCTTGAGTTGTGGTTTTCCATCCTCTGGATTTTTTTATTAATCCATGAGTGGACATTTTGGCTTTGGAGATGATTGCTTTGGAAGAATAGAAGGTAAAAGGAAAAGTTATATAAAGGAAAAAAAGAAACAATAATTGTGATAGAAAAAAATCTTTTGATCCATTGTTCCTTTTCCTATCAGTGCTATAAGGGAACTTTTAGCATCTTGTCTTATATATGAGGAAACTCAATAATTTACATTTAATCACAACTAATAATTGTAGCATGGGGATTTGAATGTAGGAGTTTACATTTAAAGTCTGTTGTCATAAACTCTGTGTCTTCTACACTTGAGAAGGTAGAAAAAGAAGAGAGAAACAAAAACACGGGAAGAAGCATAAGGAAAGAGGGTGGAAATGAGGAAGACACTAAATAGAAAAGCGAGGCACAGTGGAAAGGACAGGAAAAAACACTGCAGAGAGACCTCATAAGACTTCCCATGGTTCACAGCACAGGTAGCATATGCCTTAGCGACGCTTAGACACATTTCACAGTCTATAAAATGAAAAAGGCTATCAACAGGCAATCCCAACACCATCTTTCAAAAATATGTTGGTTTCATTAATTTTACAAGAATTTCACATACATCATACTTTGAA